AAGGTCAAGTTTCTCACCTGGCTGTTGAGTGCTTCATCATTGTAGCTTTCTGAGATTGTGCGATAATCCAATTGGAATTGTGTTATTCTTAGGCTTTCACAGGGCACTCAAGGGGATTCCCCTGCAGCTGCATTTCCTGATATGTGTCGGCATTCCACTGGGCAGCGATACGAGTCGAAAGACGCCATGCGAAACACCCAAGAAATGCATTCTGTCAAATGACATAATCCCTATAAATATTGAACAAACAATATGGGTTCGAGTACTATTGCTGCTGTTGCTGCTGGTGTTTGTAAAGTGTGACAAGAGCGTTAAAATAAAATAGGAAAAACGAGTGAGTTAACTTTAAGCGGGACTGATTGACTTGCAAGTACTCTGCACACAAAGCTGGGCTGCCATTGGAGCCAAGGCAAGTTTGTTATTCAGAGCTTTGTTTTTGTCTCTAATGAGAGTACTAATCTGCACCAAAAGTGAGCGTATCTATAAACTAAACTGCCCGTTCTGAGCGCTTGCAATGCGTACAGGGTATACAAAAGCGTGTCAGAGTCGAAGCATTGAGTATTGAGTGCGCTCTGTAGGCGTGACAAGCGCGCAACTGATACAAATTAATTGCGGCGCAGACGCAGCGCAGACAATGACGTCGACGTCGACGTTGACGTTGACGACGTTGAATGCCGCGTGGGGAGCAGCAGCAGCAAGCAGCAGTAGCTACGCTTGACATTGGCTACTGCAACAGCAGCAGCAGCAGCAGCAGACAACGAAGCTCTTCAAGTGCTCAATGTAATTCGAGATGCTGCTTATAGAGTCTGAGATCTTGAGAGCGCAGCTGCCTTGCAGCAGCAGCATCAGCAGCAGCAACTACAACTACAAAAACAATGCACATTTTATACAGGAAGTAAAGCATTTTGTGTTTCATTTTCATTTTCTTAAACCTCTGGCTGGGCTCAAACAAGTTGCAATAAATAATAATGATAATATTGTAGTTTTGTGACGTCAGCAGCGAGATAAAAATTGCGGCAATGGTAAATGGGACTGCATCATATATACATATATGTATATATATATCTGTATAAATATATATATATATATGGCACATGCATTAAACTGAGACTCACAGACAGACGGCGCTTCGTCTGGGTCTGCAATGACAATGCAGAAAGAGGAAAAATAAAAAATGACATCGACAGGAAGGAAGTGTTTGCTGTTAATGCTATGCAACCGTTGCCAGTTGCTGCGATTGGAATTTGCAAGCGTTGGCAGCGAACACCTACAGCAGATTCCGTTACCTGTCACACTTTTGCCTTTGCAATCTGCGAGTCACCTGAATGCAATGAAAAATCCTATTACTTCTGCCACTATATGTTGATAATGGTCAGAGTCTTTGTATCGCAACAGGCAATTACATGAATTACATTAATAACCAAATTACACTCATCAAAATGCATATTAGCAAGAGTACTATTTGCGGGCATGCACGACTTGCGAATACCGCGATTCTCCCGCTTAAGCTGCAGCTGCATCGCTCGCCCGAGTGCATTTATTAAAGCAGCGATTGCGGCTCTCTAATAAAGTCAGTTCTCCTATCAATGGATATATGATATTCTTATATATTAACTATAATATTGATAATCGCAGAGCATCTTAAAAGAAACCCCAGCTAATGGCACCAGCAAAAGCTTAAACTCATTTTAATAAATTAGAGTCAAGTGATTCGAATAGGAGCTAAATTGAGCATAGTGAAATCAATTCAAATACAAATATGAACTAAATATTGGGATATACTATATTATTGTTTAAGTAACTCTCCTTCTAAGCCAGTTAAATCTGAAGAAATATATTCAAATATATCAATTCATATATATATCTATATATATAACTACATCTATATCTTCTTAGCTATTTACATCTACTTGTCTACTGTTTTATATAATAGTTTAGATAGTGAGAATTGATCGTAGAACTATAATTTATATAAAAAGTAGAGGTATTTCATCGTCGTGCTGTTTTCATTAGCTTTCGTTGCGATGTGTGCACATTGCATAATATTTTATTCTCGCTAGATTAGCATATTTATTGATTTCTCGCTGTGTAAGTGGGGTTTGTGGTTCTAGAGATCTGGAATTGCATTCAGTTTGCTGCCAGCTAAATATCCAAACAGAAAAAAAAACAAACATTAAAAAACGCAGCTAAAAATTGTGTTGGGAATGTGAATTTGTTTGGCATTTGCCTTCGGAGTCGTTGCTGTTTGTTTCTCTCCGAGCTCGGTTGATTGCGTTGGCTTGTTGCTCAGATTTCGTCGGCTTTAGTGTTAAGTGACATCGACACAAATTCTTTGGCATGTGGCGACAATCAAATTTCAAGCTTTGCTCAGTGCTTCGATGCGAAATCATTTCCCAGCTGAAAGCCGAAAATTCAGAATTCCTGGAAACAATTGCAGCACTTCTCGAATATATGCTGATTACGAGCCCGAGCTGTGAAACTGCGTTCGCCAACTATAATTCCAAATAATCGTTTGCTATTGACAAAGCGTATATTGGCAATATCACGCATTCGCCACATGCGCCCATGCATAATGCATTCTCATAATGCATTGCGCTTGCCCACGAATCGGCCAAATGAATTAATTCTGCCCACAGCGACAACGACAACGACAACAGCAGGTACCGAGCAAGCGGACAGGCTAAAGCAAGTTGTCATCCCCGTGGCTAAAGTCAACTAACAATCGAGCATCCACAATACAGCACCGAACCGAACCGAACCATCAACTTGATTAAGTCGATTAACACAAAAACGCTCATTACCAGAGCACGAGCTGGCACCGTCCCATCTGGTACCGGCGAGATGAAAGACGCTAAGCCGACTCTGGAATGCTAAACAGTTGGTAAAAATCGTCATTAACCCACCGCCAACGACAGTTGTTTGTGTGTGCACGTATATCGTAGACTTTGGGGCTTCGTTTCAACACAATCTTGACATTCTCAGACTCCGCAAATGACAAACAAAATTAGCTTCAATCAGGGAAATTAGAAAAACATAACAAACAGCTTTTTTAATCGTTTTGACACGTCTCTTAGTATTGACAGCGTTTCCATGTGATTTGAAAAACGAAACGAATATCGTAAACTTCAAGTAGCTTATTAACTATGCTTGGGCATGTTTGCTTTTGGCAATATAAGAAACAATAATAGAACATCTGATCTCTAACTGCATTTCCGATATTCAATTTTCTGCGAGTCTGCATTTTGGATGCGGAAAACCGAATATCGTAAATCACTTCAAGTATATAGAAAGCAGAATTGAGGCATGCTTAATTTAAAGTGACATCATTTTAAGCTCTGGCAGCATATTAAATTGTTAGTCTTCTATTAGAATATATTGACAGACAGATTAACCTAAGCTCTGGCAGCTTATTGAAGATCTTCTTCCTGCACTCCCTGCCAACAGCGAATATCGTATCAGATTGTCTAGCAGGCTCATATACAGCTCATAGCTTGACTCTGACAGCTCATTAAAGGACCACGACTACAGAAATGTTAAGCTTTCAATTATAATAGGCATAATTGGTGGCAATTAGCTGCTGCTGCTGCTGCTGCTGTCAGTGTGGGCTGCACTTCGATGGAATGCATATTTGATCAACAGGCCCAATAATGGTGCCAAATACATAGTAACTATTGCTGATTATCAATATCATTATTATTATTACCGTCTTTATATTTGATAATCATTTCGATTTGAATATTTTTGAATATGTTTCTATATAATTGAAGCTGGCTCAGCCGCAATCGCTGCACGCTGCTTGCTGCTCACTGCTAAGCAAAACTATTCCTCCAATTTTACTTTAGCTCCCCACTCTCTCCCTCTCCCTCTCCCCCTCTCGCTCTGCCTGGTAAATCGTGTGTGTGCGCGCCTGTGGTCTGTGGCTGTGCGTCTCACTTCGGGCGGAAGCACAACGGCAATGATGTTATTAATGTACATTATAGCCCCTGATTATCATTGCTATGCTTATTATGCTGATTATGTTACACTGTTATACTCTTCGCTTCGCCGTCCCCCTCGCCGAGTGCCCGCCCCATGCACACGCACGCACACTCAACCGCTCCCCTATTTGTGGCACGCACTGTTTACTATATCATTTCTCAGCGGAATTTACAGTTTGCAAAACTGAAAATGAAAAAAAAAATAAATAAAAAACAGAGAAAATAATTTTGTCATTTAAACTGAAATTTTACAAATTGAGCGCAATTCCTAAGTACACGATATTATAGCCACTCAGATCTGTTATTCAAATTGTCGTTTGAACATGCATTTGAGACATTTCAGGAAATCTATTTTTGAATAATTCCAGCAAACTGATTTTTACAATTTGATTTTTATGACATTTCTTATGAAGCCAAATAAAATTTGAAATGATTGATTTCAGTCATTAGTCGTGTTCTCTTAGTCATGAGAGCTAGAAACAAGTTATTTATCGTATTCCCCATACAGATCCAAGTCGTAGTAGACATATAAATCCAGATGGTATATGATGCGAGCGTACCTACGTCTTTGGTACACTTGTACCAAATGCTGCAGCCGTGAGCAAAGCACAGATTCAGAGCAAAAGAAACAACAATAGCTGTAGGCCAAGAGGGGGCAACGGTCAAGTGGAACGGCGGCATACACAAACCGCACCGACCAGACCAGCTGCCGCCGCCATTGACGCGACAGCGCTGTCGCTGTCGACGTCGACGGCGACGTCGTGCGAAATTTATCACCCAAAAGATTCTTGAACTCGACGGCCCGTAAGGTCGACAACTCGGCGTGGCTAACGGCTACCTGCTAGCTGCTACCTGTCACCCTGCATTTCCCCTTTCGCGTCACCTGTCCCGTAGCCATCTCCATCCTCCTTTACCCGCTAGCCCTCGCTGTCGCATTGTTTGATTAATGTGTCGAGCCAGGCCATGTGCATTCACTAATCTCTCGATGTGAACTTTTTTGTCTGTTTCGTGTGTGTTTTACAGCCATGTGGCGGCGATGAGGCAGACAGCAGCTGGGAGCATGCCGTGCCACTTGTTGCATGTCGTTTCCATGCAGCCAGCGCAACGGCAACAGCAACGAACTCGCATCAAATATCCTGCATATTACTCATACGCCATGTGTCGCCAGGATGCCATCGTAGCATGTTGCAACAGCAGCTGCCACCGCTTGCGGCCACGACGTGCTGACTAATTGAACGATCTATATTACAATAGCAGCAGCAACAGCAACCGCAACTACAACAATTAATTTAAGCAGCATCAACAACAACAGCAACAAGAACAACAACAACAATCAACAGAACAAAGTTGCCCGCAACACAGCCCAAAATGTCTGAGGTAAGTTTGCCAATAAATTTTATGTCAGTTGCAAACAAAATCTTTGGCATACACCAACAGGCGCGATTCAGTGCAAGCTTGATTTTAACACACTGTGGAACAAACCCGAACAAAATATATAGCAAAATTGTAATGCTAAAGAGTTAAGCCTGAGACTTAAGTAACACTATGTAGGCAAAAGAGTTTATCAAAATTAAAGAAAAAATCTCAAATTTACACAAATATAAGAAAAAAGCTCTTAATTTGATATATTCAGGAATCGATCTCGAGCTCGAACCAGCGTCTATCGGTTGTTTGGCTTAGACAGCTTGTTGATCCTTTGTTGATCCTGATTCCATCAACTGTCGATCTATCAGCTATCAAGTTTTATATGAGCAAAAACATTTCATTCATTATTTCAATTGGAAATTTATCTGACTTTCGAGGAAAATAAAAATGTAGCCAAAAATTAGTTTTGAACTTGCACAATTTTAAAGTTAATAAATAAATATTAAAAACTCTTATACTTAAAATTTTAATCTCATTATTCAAACTGAAATTTTCAGCAATTTGTCAATCAAGTCTGAGTATCGCGTGTTTTCTTTAGAGTTACACAAGCTGAAATCATAATAAAATAAAGAAATATATTTTTAATATCAATAAAATGGGCTTCATGGGATACAAAATCTTATGACATTAATGGTTAAATATGTTTTAAAGCACAGAAAAATTTCAACAATTATTCAGTTTAATCATAATGATATGTCATTTTATTAGCTATTAGCTGTCAACTGAAGCACAAGAAGGAAGCATAAATAAATGTATATATACATAAATAAATATATATTATATATATTCATAGAGCTTAATGTACTTTCCTTAAGAACTTTGTAATTCTAGCTTTTGATTTCTTATTGAAAAATTTCCTAGCTTAAATAAAGTTTTCTTATGACTCAAAGACTGTGGAACATACGAAAGCATGAACTTGCTTAAACAATTTGAAATATGAGCTCTAAGTTCACAATGTTGATCAACGAATCATTTAATATTATTTTGATAGATGATGTTTGAGAGTAGGGAACTGGCTTCAACTTTAGCCAACTAAGAAAAGTTCGAAATATATGCGGAAAGAAATATTTAAAGCTAGTCTAGTTTCAGCAAAACATTTCTCAAATAAAATCCACAGCTAACAAAAACAACAACAACAACGGGAGCAAGAACAATATGTTGAATGCGTCTTTCTTTGGCCCCGCATAAACATTTGAATTTTGGGTCAGTGACGTCGTCGTCGCCGTCGTCTCATATCTCATGTTTATGTATGGGACACACACTTACGCATTCCCTTTTAGGGAGAGGGCGGAGTAGGGGGAGAGGCGAAGTGGGATGTGAAGTAGAAGGAAAGCGGCGGCCAAAGGCACCTTTTGCTTTGGCAGCCAACAGCTGTTGGCAAACTCGTGCTACAAATATTGACCTAATTTGCACCTGTTTACAAATTCATTTGGCTCGCCGTGTGGCCCACATCGCATATCCTCGCATCCTGTGGGGCAGGACTTTGCGTTTTTGGCGCATGATTTATGCAGCAAAACGCGAACGTATTGCGAGCCCTGCGCGCCATCCACTACCCAACGCCCACCGTCCACCGCCCAGTGCGAGCGCTAGTTTTAAGTGGGTCAAACCATGTCCATGCTCATGTCCCAGCCAGTGTGACCGACTCAACCAGCGGCAGTCCACAGGATGTTTGCGGTGGCTCCGAGCTAGCGGGCTTGGCATGCTTGCCTATTGCCTGGCGCTGCGACGGGGCGGGTCAGTTATGCACACATTGTTGGCATTCCCTTGTTAAACAAATTTACATTCTCATGCACCAGCAGAGCAATCAGACTCCAGCTCCAGCTTCAGCCAGAGTGTAGTGAAAGTTCTTTACAACAATCAAAATGCTTTCAATTATGGTTTGCCAAAGCATTACACAGCAAGTTGGACACATCCAGCTTTATCATACTACTCTCATATTTACGTACTCTAAAGCCCAACAACTGGAATTTGTCAAGCGTCAGCAGTGGCTGTTATAAAATATATGTGAAAATCCTTTGCACCAACAATGACACCAAGCCAGAGATAACTTTTCCACAAAAAATACAGTCAGAGTCGAAAACTACGGCACACAAATAGAAATCACAGAATAAGTCTTTGGGGCAGCTTTGCAGCACTTCACTCTGTGACTTGATTTTGTTTTAAAAATATATCTGATATATACACATATATAGGCTTCCGGTTTTTGGCCAACAGTATGTAATTTTTTTGAGCAATTAAAATTTGCAAAGGCCGCAGCCACGTGACTTAGTTTGAAAGTCAATTAGTTTGTAGCAGCACAAGTTAAATCTGGGTTAAATGCTTCTTTCTATGATGCCTGAAACTAAAGGATTTACTAAATAGAGCTCGCCAAAAATAAATGTTTTTTGTAGAGCGATTATGTGCCGCTAAAGCAGCAGAGAAAATCAAGTCAGTCGGGCGCCAACGACTGCACGACGCTCGTTATATATATAATTTTAGCAGATCCAGAAAGTGTTTCAACTATCATAGGGTTTCCTTGCCAGCCCTAAGATATATCTACTTTATATTTTTAATATTGGCCTAACTATTTATGCTATATAAATTCAAAATTTCAAGTCTCTGACACACTAAATAAAGGAGTTTCATATGTGCCACACTTAAGGTCTCATGACAGTCAGCCCAATATGCTCTTTCCACTTGCTGAACGAGTATCGATGAGTATCACATATTTTAGTTTATATATATATATATTTATATTTATTTTAGTTGAATTTGTAATGCATATTTGGCATTAGCCAACCATCTAAAGTAGAGGCACTTTTCTGAAATGTGAAAATGAAAACGAAAACTTTAATCGCGGATTGCTTACGCAAGAGCTGAACAGCAATGGCCGTAGCTGCTGGCTTCAACTATTCAGCTATTCAGCCATTCAGCAATTTGTACATATGGAAACAGATGTGTACACATTCAAGTCGAGCGAAGAAAAGAAATGGGAAACCGAATGAAATGTGCAGATAAATTGCAAATTGGCATTGGAACGTCAAATGGTTGATAAGCGAGCCAAAGGGATAACCATATGAAGTTAACTGATTTTCCACTTCAATCTCTGGAGTCCGCACGAATTGCCAAAATGCAGCGCACAATCAAATCGACAATGGATGGCTATACCCTGAATCCATTGCAAATGCCCAAAAGGGTAGCTTGTGCTGCGGCACGTGAAGTGAACGGACGGCAGACACAATAAAGACGAGCTAATTTGATCGATAGCCATGCCCGGCTGACGTCCGTTTGTCTGCCTACGAAAGTAAACTGCTAAAATTAGTTAACAGAAATTCGAAATATTTATTCTTGTATACCGTAAAGCCCCTTTAATAATGCTGCTTATAAATATATATTAGATAACATATATATGCTCCCATATAAAAGCCATAAAGATCAGACATGCAGCAGCTCACTGCAGTGTACTGGGTATATGCTAGTCGGGCACTCTCGCCTAGAGCATACTGGTCTCTATTGTTTACTGAAAAGTACGAATTTTGACAGACATTGACGGCAGCTGTTGCTGACAGCATGCAGCATATGGAAATACAGTTATATATGATCAGCTATCGATCCTTGTCGGGACAGACAATCAAAATAGCTTGAGACCCTAGGCTGAAGATCTGAAGATTTGAATACTTATCTTTAGTTACTGTATACTGTGTCTGTATATATCTCAGAACAGCTATCGTTATGTATTAGAACTTTTGCAGGTTCAGGTATAAGGATGCTAGGAGAAAGGGAGCTATAGCGACGTCGCTGTCTCGCTCTCGTAATGGCAGCTCAGCACTGGCCATAAGATGACTTTGTGGCAATTTGTTAACAATTGAAACAGTCAAATCTTAATTGAGATATTGTATTAAACACTTGTGAATAGATACGCTCAATGCGCATCAAATTTCCTGCATCGAAGGCATGAAATGTTATTGATATTTCGTATCTAACGGTGCGCAAATTGAAGGCGTTTGCTTTGGCGCCGCAGGCTAAAGCGAACGATTATGTTAATGATTATTATGATTAAGGCAAAGATGTTGACGATGTTGTTGTTGTTGCTGTTGTTCATTAGAGCACTAATTTATCCTGCAGACTAACGCCCTAGCCTTAGCCATTTGGGCGTCTCTGCGCTGCCAGCGCGTCAATTTGTTTGATTGTTTCTGTTTCCTGTGCATTGATTTCATTGATTGATGCGTTTTTAATGATGGCGACAGGCGGCAGGTGCTTAAAACCTGGTAAAGCAGCCACTTCAATCATTAGCGAGACTCCACTAACAACCTCTGGCTCTATCCACCTGTCACTATCCCTCTCTGTCTCCGTCTTTGTTGAGCTGTCGTAAAAGGTAAACAAATTGGCAACTCGTCGCGTCTCGATTGCACTGAACTAAATGAAAAATAAATACCCAGCAGTAACTGCTTGAATAAGAAATAAAACTATAACCAAGTGAAATCTTACGCATGCCGCACTTGACACTCTCTTCAGGCTATATAGTATCGGCTATATAGTATCAGGCTATATAGCTATCGCTCCATGATGATCTAAGTATCATGATAAGGAGAATATAAGAGGTCAGCTCAAATTGTTTCATTCATAGAAGGATCCGACTAAGCCGCACACGATACCATCTTTAGAAGAAACAGTGTTAGGGGCAGGTCAGGTTTATGCGCTAGATACAGATCTTTGCTTCTCTTTTTAGAATAATCAAGGAGGAGACAAAGGCTCATGAAAACACTGAAGCTTAAAAATCAAACACGATTCTCTTTGAACTGACCTAGTGTATACAGAGCTATCTCTGTTGTTCTGTCACAATTACATAATACCCGCTAAGAGAGTAAATGTAGCAGCCGTTTGGCCTAGGAAGCCTGAATGGGATATATTCTCTAGCGGTAGCTGGCGATTCGCTCGGCTAGCTGCCATTGCTACAGTCAATGCCTGTTAAC